AAGTAATCGATTAATTTCACTCTCGTCCTCATGGAAAGCTTTCAAAATCAGCGTATTCTTTAAAATCACCATTGCATTTTATGCAGAGAAAGAGAAACGGGTATTAAGTAAGCTGATAATAATCAGTGATGATAGCAAGCTGCTGATAATCTTAATAACGGTAAGCTGATGGTAATCAGAAATTTCCCTCTTTTTTTAATGATGGATTGTGCTTCTTTTTTATCTTCTCTATTCTTATCGAAGACTTTTTAAACGTTAAATTAAGGAAGATAAAAGGTTATTATTACCTTACAATGTACACTGTGGAAAAAAAAAATAGGGAAGGGCAGTTCTATATCTCCCATTCTATTGGGCCCACTGACGAAATTCAACTTGCGTTTTGTTTTCCATTTCTGAAAAGCGTGTCTTAGGATATGTATTAGATTTATATATAGCATTGTTCTTATATAAGTATTTTGACACAAAATCGGACTTTTTCTGAAATGCTCTGCCTCCGAAATACCAAGAACAGGACTAAATGAGTATAAAATTTGATAGCTCTACCTTTTATAAAAAGGAACTATTGTCTTTCTACATTGCAACAAACACACACATACATATTCTTCATTTTTAGTCAATTTAAAATGAATTTAATATAGAGAAGATCGTAATAGGCTTGCAAAAGCATACGAATAACTGCTCTATAATTTATATTTTTCTCTTGGAATCTTACAGTGGGATACTAACAGCGCCATCTGTTTTTAACTAAAACTTGTTCTGCCCAAAGCAAACAAACAAAAAGTAATAATAATGATAAAATCTTCGTGTACAAACCATACCTATTATGCGACAATTTGTTGATTTTATATCATTGAAAAGTATCTAAATGTATTAGAACACCCTGCATTAATGTCTTTTTATATCTTAAAATAAAGATGTTTTGCATGGCTGCTCTAGTATGACCTGAAGTTTTCTGTTGTTCTACATCACTACGGTTCATGAATTAAATGCGTAATCTATAATAAAGAAGAAAATGTGTTTCTTTGTTCGCTAATAACACAATCACTACTATAGCTATCGTCGCCAAACTTTCTACGGTTTTTTCCCTCTGTCCTACAAAAGGTCGGCGTCCACTTTTTTCCAAAATAGAATAGCTAAAATCAGAAATATCAACTAAAAACTCGAAAAAAACGATCATTTTCGCCTTCATTTTTCCGAGGGACAACAGTCTTGCAAGCTGGAGATGAAAATTTTCTTTATTTCGAAAGTTTGTTGTCACTACTCGCTTTCAAATCCTAGAGTTCGTTAATAAAATATTTCTACGTTTTACGATGAAATAAAAATAGCATTGCCAAACATTAAATACTTTAATTCCCGATTCCCAAAATGGGTGGGAAGCCATTTCAACTATTCCCACCTTCGTATGAGTTTAATCATCCGAAGTATTAATTAAAAAAAACTCTGAAAGCGTTCATTTTCGCACTCATTTTTCCAAGTGACAACAGTCTCGCGCGTTGGCGATAAAAATGCTTTATTTCGAAAAGTGTTGTTATTTCTCACTTTCAAATCGTAGCGTTTGTTAATGAAAAATTTGTCAGTTTTACAAAATCTATATATATAAGGAAAAATGTCTGTTTGTGTATTTGTTTGTTCGCGTTATTGATTTCTGATTAATTATGATAAATTTTTGCCACATTTAAAAGACTAAAATTGAATATAGGTGATATATTGGATGGAACTTCAGCTTTTAAGACCATTTGATTCGAAAGACGAAAAATCATTAAAAAACTGCGTGTGCCATTGCTTCCGATATGATGCGAGAGATTTAGGTTTTTTTTTCCATCAACATTTTTTACGTGGGTTCCATATCGCATCAGAATGAAAAAATAAAGGGTGTCCCAAAATTAACGCAAGATTTGAATTAACTAAAAAACACAGTTTTTTTTTCTTTAAACTGATATTTTTATTGAATCGTAGAGTACACAGGATAGGGTTATGTATGGAATAACACACGGGCAAATGGCCTCAACGGCTTTGCTGTCACATACTCACAATTTGGTCGAAATTTTCCATGACCATTTCGCATAGATGTGGCTGAATTTCGTTGATGCAGCGTTCAGTTTTATCCTTCAGTGCACGAGTGCATGTCGGCCTGTTGGCATAAACCTTTGACTTCAAATAACCTCATAAGAAGAAATCTAATGGTGTTAAATCACACGATCTAGGGGACCGATTTTCATCACCGAAACGAGAGAGTATACGGCCAGGAAATGTCTCATGCAGCAACTCAATTGTTTCACGGGCAGTAGGGTATGTGGCACCGTCTTGTTGAAACCACATGTCGTCCACATCAATAAACTTCATTGCTTGACTAGCTTTATGGTCCAATGATGCCTCTAGCCCAAAATCCGCATCCAACAGTTACATGTTAAGGATACATTTGTTTCGACAATCACATATGGGTTCTCTGAACCCCAAATGCAGCAGTATTGAAGATTAACAAAACCATCAAGGTGAAAATGGGCTTCATCGAAATTTACGAACTGTGGCCGCCAGACTTTCAGTGTTTTTGAAATATTTTTCAATAATGAAAACACGTCGTACTATCGTGTAATGCTTCTTTTCTACTAACCCTAAACTATCAGCTGTAAAATGGTTTTTTTTAATAGGGTTGCCAAAACGTTACTGCACAAACAGTGGCAAATTCAAATCTTGCGTTAATTTTGGAACACCCTTTAGACTATGAATCGTATTGTTTGCATCATTATTAGAGAAGGATTACAGCGGTATCGCTCTCTCTGTTGTTAGATGCATTACTCTCAATCTAACTTAACTGGCATCGGGTACTTCCGATAGTATTTCATAAATTATTGGCGACTGGTTTCCCTAATCCCCAGTCTCCCTTTAAAAGACGGAGTGTATAAGGTATTGTTGTTGCGGTTTTTTTTTTTTTTTTTTTTTTTTTTTTTGAAACCAGTTGTTACGTTATTTTCTTCCTTCACGTTCGTACGGAGTTCGTATGGATTTGGAGTGAATAACGACAACACTTGATGAAGTAACGAAACACACTTTATTTAGACAATAGCAATCAGGACAGCTCCAAAACAAGTTTACAGTCGTCGATGAACTACTATAAACACGCTGACACGATCAGCGACACAGCCTCCAGGTTATCAGGCTATCACGGTGGAGGCAGCTTCACGGCAAAGCACTAGAGTAAAGCTCCCGACTCTTCTTGGTCGTTCTCGGAACTCCACGTACTCTCGAGACTCTAAAACTCACGATGCATTCGACGACACACAGAGCACGGCTCCCGACTCTTTGATTCAGTCGTTCTCGGAGCTCAACACGCTCTCTCGACGATGCACTAACCGCGATACACTCCGAAACTCTTTGGGTGCACTCAACGACCCACTCGGCACTCGCTGCCCGGCTGTCAACTCGATCGACTCCGCAAGGATTGACTCGCTAGACCAGACACCAACTCGATACTAACTGTCAGCTCGCTAGACGAGGCACACACTCTAACTGACTGCGGACCAGCAGGGTTTATATAATAAGCTTTCGGCTTGTGCTCGAAAACATTCTAGGCTAAACCGGTAAGAATTCGCTCCAGAAGGTTCTCCATCTGTCCATGGTATATCGACAATTTTGTAGCCAAACGGGCGATTTCTCGCCAAATGTTGCAACCCGACCTTCCCTTGCAATTTATGGCAACCCTAAAACTGCTTTGCGGGAATGCCATCTCACCGCGCCTGTACATTTCGTAACAGTATTTTCTGCCTCCTTTCGGCATGCCTTAGGTGGAACAGTAGCACACTCGGGGAGCATTGAAGAAATCCAGGTTCGAGTCCCGGCAAGAGCATTGCTCATTTTTCCTTATTTCTGCTTCAAAAAAATCCTAATGACTCAATATTGGCGCGCGAACGAAAAGGGGGTGGATGATGATTCTTTACCCTGAGGATTTGGCGAATGGTCTCCTAATAGCCAGTCTTTACACTTTTACTAGTTTAAAAGGGAAAGTATATAAGGTATTTTCTCTCTCCTTTCGACATGCCTTAGTGGTGCAAAGGTAGCATACTCGGCACGTATTCGAAAGGTACAGGTTCGAGTCCTGGATAGGGCATTGCTCATTTTTCATGATTTCTGCTTCAAAAAAAATTCTTAATGACACCATAACTTAATTAGCACTATTCATAGATTTTCTTGCTTTGTTCATGATTAATGTGCTTTATTCATGTTCGCTTTTAATGGAACTGAAAATACTGTAAATTCCAGTCTTCAAATAACTAAAATCGTGAAATCTTTACAATACCATATTTGTAACCAATTCATAATTCAAACGGCTTCGTGGGTCGAATAAAATTGCTCCGAATGTTGCCCTGGCTTGCCAGGTCCCCAGATCTGTCACCCACTGTAAACCTTTGGTCATGGGTTATTAAGAGACTGGCCCGCCACCCCTCTCCAGCTAATACGGGTGATGAAATGTGGCATCGACCCGAAGCAGCACGGAATGAGTTGCCCATTGCTGTCATCCAAGCCCAATTTGACTCCATGCCTGACGGGGTAAGTGCCGTTTTAACTGCCAGAGATGGTAGCTGTTTCTACTAATTTCTTACCCCTGTAAACCTCCAAAATGCTTACAAATTTAATCATTATGTCTTCATGCCATACTGTTTACATGCAATAAATATCTTTTTTGTATTTGGCGGCAATTTTAATGGCCAGCAGTGTAAATAGATTTGTCATGAATAAACTTTGCGGAGAAACGAGACTACCAAACCAAAATTCCGAGAAACAATGCATGAAATTGAGATCAGGTTCTGGACGAAGGCTTACCGATAAATTTCCTCGAAAACATGCAAACTTGTTGCGAAAATGTACTTTATTTCTATATTATCACTTTCAGGATATCCGTATTTACGCGGTATTTTCCTCCTTAAAATTTTTATAACATATGAGGCAACTAGTTCCAGAACAATCCTCCACTATAAATTTTTCGTAGTACCAATACATAATCACAACGAGATACCTTGTTCGCGTGTTTCCAGATTTTACATACTGTTTGTAAAGTAGATTTCCAGTAATCTGTTTTAGACGACTAGACTTACCTCCAACGAATATGTTCTTAAAGGTATGCCTTAATAATTTTCATGTACTTTTTGTGCTGTTTTATAAATTCTATCGATATATTACATATTAACTCTTTTATGATAATCCTTCCCATTTTATTTTAACCCATTTACTAAAATTTAAATTTCGTAGTTGTGTGAGTTTTAATATAAAAAATGATAATTAATGTCTTTTGTAATTATTAATCCAAAGGTAAAATTTGCCCAGAAGGACTATTAATTTCGTTTTGGCATTTTGCGTCGATTCGCGATAAGCTTTGTTTCACTTTTCAAACTGTAGCCACACCAAATATTATTGCCTTGTATTATATTTAAAGAAATTAAATAATGAAGAATCTGCATGAATATATGTATGTTTCTCGCATGGTAATAAAACCACGGTACCTAGAGTCATCCAAATTTGAATAACGTAATTTTCCATAGATTATGGGCATGTGGAAGCCCTTATTTCAATCTGAAATTTGTTTTATTATCGATTTCATATTTTGTAATACTTCAACGAATTTCTGATTAACAAACTCGAAGATTTCAAAGCGAGCAATGGCACCACTCTACAGGGGAGGGGGGAAAAACCTTCAGCGCTGAGACTGTGTATCAGAAATTCTTCGGAGCGTATTCGAGAAGTCCAGGTTCGAGTTCCGGCAAGGGCATTGCTCATTTTTCATGTCTCCTGCTTCAAAATAATCTGATGTCTCTACAGTGTACTATACAAATGTAATAATTTAGTTAGAAAAATGACACTCGAAGGAGAAACCTGTAGACAGAGGTGACCGAATAGAACATACCTTTTATCGTTGGACACGAACTAATTATCGAAACACTAGCTTTGTCACACATGATCATGGAAGCAATACGCACACCCCGATTTTACACAGAGTAACGCATTTTAAATAACGGCACGAGAAAGCAAAGGAAGCGAAGTGGCATCTCGCGTGCAGGAGAGCTGAAGCGAAAAGTGCGGTATTATCCAATATGGCAGCCTATTAAGAGAAAGGCTTTGGTCTAAGTTAGAAAGTTTCAGTTCTCAAAATTTTGAGTTCGAATTTTGAATCAGCTACGTCATGAGCAATACGTAAGCCAGGCAAGATCTAGAAACGATCTAGACTTACTAATCTAGAAACGATGCAGTCCAGAAAAGTTATTACGATTTTTTAGAATTTTCTAATCTTTTAGAATCGTTCTTAATAAAGTTAGAAAAAAAATTAAAACCTTAACTTTAGTTCGGGTAGTAATCACCACCGAAATCTGTGATTTTCTGCCAACATTTTAGTAGCTTTTCAAGCCTTCGGCCGAGAAACTTGATGGTTACATGTCAAAATACAGATCAACCTCATTTCGGTCGTCCTGTGCATAATGGAAGATAGCACCAGCAAGATGTAGGTAGGTATGAAAATGATGCTAAAACTTTTACAGGTTTTACAAACATTCACAAAATTTGTTTCGAAAATTTGTAAAAATTAATTTAAAATACAAATTTTAAAAATAAATCATAAAATATGGGCGAATTATACAGGGTGTTTATAAAGTCCCGGACCCATTTTGATGTTTAATAACTCATAAAATAATACAGATAGATTAAAATTAATAACATAAATGGTTAGATAGACTCAAAAAGTGTCATGACTCTTGTTAATGAACTTTCACGTGTGCCCCCTTCGTCGCACGGAGAATATCAAGTCGATATTCAATTTCACACCAGGTATCGGCAAGCATGTCGGCATCCACAGAGGCTATTGCGGTTGTCATTCTGGCTTTTAGGTCATCCATGTTCTACACTCTTCTCCACAACGACAAACACATCAAAAGTAAACATAACATTGCAATAGTTGCCAAAAACAAAAGAGAGAAAAGTGCAATTAATAAGCAGACGATATTTAGAAAAGTACAGATATTTAGACTGGAAAATGAAATTATCTGAAATTAACCACACACGCAGACGATATTTACAAGAGTAAAGATATTCAAACCTGAAAAGGAAAATACGAGTAGTATATGTTATTCCATCAATAAATGTCATAAGTTTGTTTATATCTTCATTATTTTATGAGTTATTAAATATCAAAATGGGTCCGGGAATTTATAAAGACCCTGTATTTGGAATGAATCTAAATTTCGAATTCTGGAAGAAGGAATCAAGTAAGTTAAATTTTAAAAAAGAGATATTAATAAATATACATCAAATTCAATTAACATTGACGAGCTAAAATTTTCACAGCTGACTTTTTAAAAACTACTCGTGCGATTTTTACGAAACTAGGCACTTGACATAATTTGAGTCGTAGAATGGAAATACGGAAATATTGGTATGTGGTTTCAGAAAATATCCAATTTTGTGTCAAAATACCTACATTAGAACTATGCTATATATAAATCTAATATATATTCTAATTCGCGTTTTCGAGACATGAAAAACGCAAGTTAAATTTCGTCAATCGGCCCAGTTGAGCGGGAAATATAGAACTGCCACATTTTTTTTCGCAGTGTACATAAAGCAAAATTTCATATTTTTCTAGATAGCAGTCAATATATTAATTATTTTTCCAGGGTAACTAAGAAAGCTAAAATCTGTCAGCCACACACATAAAAAAAAAATCTCTATTTATGAGGAAAATTAAAATGGCATAAAAGAGAGAATGCGGTCAACCTCCTTTCAATTTTTCAATAAAATATCTTATGCTTTTCATAAATACCCCTCTAGCTGCATTATCAAATTATTTTTCCCTAAGTCTTTTCATTTTGTTTAGGGGCTGGTTATATTGCTTTTCCTGGTTTTGCCCTTCGAGCAAAGAACTCTGCTGGAGGATAATGAAAGTTTTTGCCGCCCTCACCTGTGCAAGTACGTCAGTTGCTGGAGAGAGGAAGCCTTATGCAAATACCCGGGAGCAAAGCGCATTCCAAAGGGCGGTATCTGTGGATGCTGCGACAGATGCGTTATCGTGAAAAGTATGGTTTTATACATATTTTATGACAAATTTGGTGTTATCGATAAATAAATTACGCTTTAAAAAGTTTTAAAAAGAACTCTTTTATATTACTAAACGTGCTAAAAAACCTACAAATCACTCATGTTTGCACAAGATTGACACTTTAAGTATTCTGGAAGCCCTTATTTTGAATTTCGAATTTGTTTTATCATCTACTTCATATTTTGTAAAACTTTAACGAATTTTTGATTAACAACCTCGACGATTTCAAAGCGAGCAATGGCAACACTGTACGGGGAAAAAAATAATAATAAATTATCTACGGCACGCGAGACTGTGGATCGGAAAATTCTAAAGATATGATCTTCTTTAATTATTTTGCGATATTGCTGTTAAATTGAATTTTATGGTTTAAGTACGATATATAAAAAAGGAAGAGTCTGTCTGCCTGTCTTTCATTCTTATAGACTAAAACTAGTAGACCCAAGGTTTTAATAAACTTCGTAAACTAATAGATCTAGAGTTACAAAATTTGGTACATAGGGTGCATCTAGACTAGACACAATGCATCTCGAAACGATTTTTTTCAAAATTCGAATGAGATTTTTTTATTTTATGTTTTTTGATGAAATCGCATCGAATCGATAATTCTCTCTCATTGTATCAGCAACAATGGCGCGCAGCCATCGTTGCTGATATATCCAAGGAGGTTAGAATAGAAGAAGGAGGGAGGGTTCGCAGTTTCCTCCACTATCGGGGAATGAAACTCCGCCGAACAAGCGGCGTCCATGTTTGTGACTTCAAAACATTGCATTACGGCAGTGACATGTACGTGTTTCTAAGCTGTTCCGTGCATTTATTTTCCAGTAAACATATGTTAAATTTATAATGAAATCCCTCGCTATTGTTGAATTTTTGTTTTAAAGTAATAAAGATGATATTCATAATTTACTATGTACAGCAAATTATTAAGAAATAGTTCGAAATCTAAATGCATGCGCATAACATTAAAGCCTTTAAAAAATGATGTTTCTGCATATTTCACGAATTTGCTTAGGTTAGAAAATAAATCTTAATAAAATAAAACAGATTTATGTGAATTCATTGATTTCAGTTTATGCGCATTTCATATTTATTAATCTCAAAGAAACTGCCTTTAATTAAGTTGAATTACAGAAATACACCTATATAAGTTTTTGGATACATTTTTCCACATGTTCAATGGTGTAAATATTTTACTTAATTTTATCACTATACTGCCCAGAAATTTGTAAGTTTATGCAAAAAATTTTTAACAACAGAACAGTTTATCTTAACTTAAAAAAAATGAATAATAATTAATATATAAAGAAAAGCATTGCTTTATTTAACACCTTTACAATTAATAAAATAGTAACAATTGATTTCTTACTTTTCATGAAAGTTATAAAACGAATTAACTAAAACGTTCAAATTATACAATTTAAATCCTCCCGTATAGCATTGTATCTTAAGGAACGAAGATACCAGCTATAAACAGAAACATTAAAATGTATTTAATATATTTTGATTATAGTTATATTAAATAACCTAACCTATTTTAAGTCCTTTTTTTTCACATCTGGAAAGAAAACCACATGACATTGTGATATTTTTTGACATAGTTGTCATATTACATAAAAAAAGAAAATTAATACTTACGTGTGAAAAATAATGCCCGGAATTTTTTTCGAGAATGTATTTGTGCATCCATATGCAACACAAGCTGACATGCTTCAAAAAGAAAAGAAAAAAATGTTGCAATGACAGACTTCCTTGCACAAGTCACGGTGATAACAGGAAGATGGCCGCCAAGCTTCACCGTTTGAGTTGAACCTTCCCTCCTTCTATTCTAACCTCCTTGGATATATCACGGTTGCCATTGTTGCTGATATCGGCAGTGTTGCCACTCCGAAAAATGAGGACGATAATTCCGTGCAGTTTTTTTAATTTTCTGTTTCTCTTGAATACTGTCGAGAGAAGACAAAAAAGGGAAGTTGATTAATTTATTTATTAGGGTAATTAATATTTGTATAAAGGGATATCGCTTATTTCATTCTAAATTTTTATATGTAATACATTTTTACTGAAATTTTTTTTTTCAATTTTTTATTTTTGTTTGTTTGTTTGTTTTTTGATAAAGTTGTTCTGCAAAGTGTAATTCTGCCCAGTTTTTAAATTAAATGTTTGGTATTCCCTTTAGGCATTTTTCCGGTACATTTAAAAGCCAAGCGGCTAGCATTTTATAAATAAAGATGGCACACAAAAAGTTAAATAACAGCCCCTTTGGGCATAATATTGTAGAGACATTAAGCTAATTGGAAGCAGGAAAGATGAAAAATGAGCAACGTGTTCACCAGGAATCGAAACACGGACCTCTGGAATACGCGCCCAGCGTGCAGACCACTACACTACGAAGGCATGCTAAGAAGGCGGGAGAAAACCTTATATACACCCCCTTTTAAAGGGCGACTTAGGTTTCAGGGGACCCAGTCACCAAATCCTGGTTGAGGAGAATCATCATCCAGCACCCTTTTAGTTCGGGCCGCTGTAGAGACATTCATTAGTTCGGGCCGCACTGTAGGGTTTTTTTTTTTTTTTTTTTTTTTTTTTTTTGAAGCAGGTAAGATGAAAAATGAACAATGCTCTGGCCAGGAATCGAACCACGGTCCTATGGAGTATGCGCCCAGCTTGCAGACCACTACACTACGAAGGTATGCTAAGAAGGCGGGATATAATAATATAAAATGTAAACGATTTTTCGGTGGTGGGTTTTTTTTTATTATTATTATTTTATTTTTATTTGTAAATATATATATATATATATATATATTTTTAAGTTTGGTATGTCGAAGGAATTTTTACACATGTATGTAATTCATGAATTTTTAATGTCTATACACACATTATGAATGTTTTCAACAAATTCTATTACTTTAAAATCATAATGCAGTAATCATAAACATATTTATTTCAATGAAAATTTTATTATTAAAGCAAATGCTATTACAAGATGGTTATGTGCCAGTACTGAAGCCTGTTAATGCTTTCTAGAACATAAATTCTATAAAGCTTTAGTGAATAACATCTCGATATTGGGAAATATATATATATATTAATAAATGTATATTTTTCCTTAATAATATAATATGTATAAAATTGCTCCTCACTTAATCTCTTAACATCCGAAATTTTTTGTATAGAAATATAAACATTTCGCTCTTTAATTATCTTATCACATAAATAAGATATCCGATTTTAATATCAAATACTTCGGTTTATTTTTTTTTCGCCACGGGATTAAAATTTTTTATGTTTTGTCTTTTGTGACGAATACAAAATGGTCCTAAATATACACTACTCGACACTGAAAATGCAACACCAAGGAGAGACGAGAAAGTGATGAAACTCAGCAAACAGAGAGACACTGCAATAAACGATAAGTAAGATTTCGCCATCTATTTAATTGATTGACGATTGAGGAGCACTGTCATCACAATGAAAAACTTCTTTTATATCATCTTCATTTATTACCGCTTCTCCACATTTCTTTACAAACTCATTAATTCGAAAATTTCACCTTTGGTTTGCGAGATCCGAAAACCTTTAAAATTCACGGCAATGATTATAAAATTTAGCTATCGTTGGCTATACATCGTATTTGACATAAGATTGGCGACTAAAGACAAGTTGCTCAGCTAAATTTTATCTTGCTTCTACCGCGCTCCGAGACAGTTAAGCCTAAATTGTATTAGTCATTTAATATTACTTATGTCTATTTCTTACAAGTGCTTAAGGCTTATTTGAGTCCTGAATAAATAAATTTCCACATATACTTAAGGCTTATCGAAGGCCGGTGCTATAGATATCTTACTGCCTGATGCAGACTTTGCGGGTTCTAATTCTGCTACCAAGCGCCTCCCAAAGTTCCAAATTTGTGCCGCCCGTAAATTTTGGGTATTAGTGCTTTCCCTAAATTCTGAAAATTTTGTCATTCCTTAATTTTATTGCTCGGTGATTCTGAAATTCCAAAAAGTTTTTCTTCCCTAAATTTCGCCGCCCGATTCGGCCATAGGAGTTCTGGCGCCGGTTCTGTGTTTATGTTAATAACAAATCAGTTATTCTTAATTCAAATAATATTAAATGTTATCTTTTGGCCTATGAGTATCATTAAGAAAGTTTATTTTTAGCATACGGAAAGAACATTTTGTTAAATGTTTCCTCGTCAACATTTCTTCCGCATTTAACTTACATTTGTAATCATCGCCAAGCGTAATGTCAACGTGAAAGGTTACCATATTCTTTATTATTCAGTTATTAACACACAAAATATTAGGCATGGCTACATGAGTCATTACTCAAGCTGTCATGCGTTGATAAACATGCGGTGATGAAAGCCAAATATAATGAATAATGATTCGCCAGGTTGGCGTCGATATAAAATGTTAGTAGATGTAAAATCAACGATGTATCTATGTAGAATGTTTCGGTTTGAGATGTATGCCAAGCAGATGCGGATTAGAGCCAATTCTAAGATCATACAAATTTATGCTAAAATAATTGTTTCTTCAATAACGAGGCATTTTATTTAGTTGGGAGGGAATCAAATACGCATGAGTAAAGCATACAATTTTTTTTTTTTTTTTTTTTTTTTTTTTTTTTTTTTTTTTTAAGATTTGTTGGTGGCATTGAGGATTGGATCTTAGATTGTAGAGTCATTAGGTTAATTGGAAGCAGAAAAGATGAAAAATATGCAACCGACCTGGAATTTAACCACGGACCTCTGGAATACCAGCCCAGCGTGCTACCGTTACACCACGAAGGCACGCTAGGGAAGTGGGAGAAATACCTTATATACTTCCCTTTTTAAAGGGCAACTAGGGTTTTAGGGGACCTAGTCGCCAAATCCTGGGTGCGGAGAATCATCATCCACAACCCTTTTAGTTCGGGCGCCACTTGTCATTAGGATTTTTTTAGAAGCAATAAAGATGCAAAATAAGCAACCGCCTTCGCCGGGAATGGAACCACGGACCTTTTGAAATACCGGCCCAGCGTGCTACCGTTACACCACGAAGGCACGCTAAAGAAGTAGGAGAAATACCTTATAAGATCATTCCGGATATTGGACGTCCGGATCTCGTACTTTGCATTCGGTTTTATAATTTTAGTTCTCTCTAGTTGTGTTCTTTATAAACATATTCAGAATGAAATAAAAACTTGATCAATTTATACCAAAAGATTAAGATACGAAATATATCACTTACTAAACGTTTTAATTTAAAATTTCTTCTAGTGAAAGAAATATAATTAATAATTATGCCTTATTTTCTGGTGGTTTTTTTTTTTTTTTTTTTTTTTTTTTTTTTTTAGAACGAAACCAACAATGTTTCGCACTCTCAGAAAGACATGGTGCAATTCCTATAGAATGTGAGGAAGGTACAGCTTGCAGTATAGTTTCTCTAAGATGTGAATGAGAAGAAAGTAAAGCAAAAAATAATTGTTTGTGCCATTTAAGCAGTCATACGTCTACAGTTTCCTACCAAATTCTACAACAGCAAATCAACAGTTCGCTGTTAGCGAATTTCGACAAAAGAAAACTGTAGTCATAATATTTATATAAACTCTTCTTGTCAATAAATTACAATTACTTTTATTCCTCAAATTTGTTAAGTGTTTTTATTTAATCTGCGACAAAATGGTACTTACATATTAACGAAACCACCTTGGCAGATTCTGGCGATATTTTACTGGACGAAAAAAGTGAAAGTTAGTTATCGGGTGCAAGCTAATGGTTTCCTGGCTTTTTTTTAAAGGATTCCCAAACAGTTTATCCTCGACTAGCTGAAGTACCCGATGCCAGTTAAGTTAAACTGAGAGTAATGTATCTAACAACAGAAAGAACGATACCGCTGTAAGCCTTCTCTAATAACGATGCAAAACGTACGATTCCGAGTCATACATTTTTCAGTCTGATGTAATATGGAACCCACATAAAAAATTTCCATAAAAAAACTAGTTCTCTCTCATTATATCAGCAACAATGGCACGCAGTTTTGAATTATTTTCGTCTTTCTAATCCAATGGTCGTAAAAGCTCAAGTTCCATCCAATATTTCACCTATATTCCATTTTAGTCGATTAAATGTGGCAAAAAAATGGATCATAATTGATCAGAAATCATTAACGAAAACAAACACACAGACATTCTTCTTTATATAGTATATAGTAGTTTTTGCAAAACTTTGAATTTGTTATTAACAAACTCTACGATATGAAATGAAAACAAGAAGTAGCAACTCTTTTCTAAATAAAGCATTTTTATCTCCAACGCGCGAGACTGTTGCCACTCGGAAAAATGAGTGCCAAAATCAGTGTTTTCAGAGTTTTTAATTAATATCTAGGATGATTAAAGTTGTACGAAGATGGAAACAGTCGAAATGCCTTCTCACAATTTTTTGGCATCGGGAATAATGTATTTAATGTTTCGCAATGCTATTTTTATTTCATAGTAAAACTTAAAAAATTTTTTATTAACAAAGTCTATGATTTGAAAGCGAAAAGTGGCAACACTTTTCGAAATAAAGCAGATTTTTATCTCCAGCCTGCGAGCGTCGACGTTTTTCAAGACCCAGAAAAAAAAAAAAAAAAGAATTGTAGAAAGTGTGACCGAAGTATTCGCGATCAAACACACAAATAGACATTCTTCTTTATATAAATAGATTACCAAACATTATCAACATATGAAAACATACTTAACAAATTAAAATACAAATTTTAATTATTAAATTAGGATTACGCAATACATTAAAAAATAGAAAGCATTAGTCTCTGTATTTTTCTGCAATTTCCTTTTGCTTTTGTTTCTCTTCGAGTACACAGCGATCTGTTTTCGCTTAAAAATTTCAGAGAACTAAAAAGACTCGTGTAAACCTCGGCATAACTTACTATCTATCAAACGCATCTCTTCGTTCTTCGCTTTAGAGATTTTGGACAAAATTCTGTATTCAGGCATAAATTTTATCTCAGTTTCTTCCAGTGCTGACAAATTCCTCAAGTGAAGTTACGAATTTTGTATTTAATTCGCTATTTTTAATAGAATTGTTATGAAATTGTTTCATTTCCTCGTGCAAATCTGCGCGGGACAAATCTGAAGAGAAAGCTAAGCCGGAAAAATTAAAAAATAGAGGAGCACGCGCATTTAATAAATACATGTCTCGTATTTGTACGCTTTTGCTTTTCCAGAAAATTCTCGCGCATTTAAAAAGCTTATATAAGCGGCATGAAAACGCCTCAAATCAGTTGTTTTGTGAGTTTCGTTCAGAAAACTGTTGTTGTTTACTGTAACGAAATCGAGGTGAAAACGGATTAGCTTTCTCTACTTTTCTCTGTTTTGAATTAGTTCTATTAAACGTTTTGGTAGTTTAAAACATAAGTACTGTGAGATTTTGCAATATTGAACGAATATTCGAGGAAAATTAAGTATTTTGTTTTATTTGTTGTGCTAAAAATAAATTTTATTCGCTTTTCATCGGACTTGTGCATTCAAATTATTACGAATCCGTACGCACGCAACAATATTTTTAAATTAAGCTTAAGGCAAAAGGAAACTGATTTTTTTTTAGTCCAAAGGGATTTGAATCCCGAAGGACTATTAGTTTCGTTTTGGCATTTTGCGTCGGACTCATAATTGTCGGTTCACTTTTCAAAGTGTTGCCACAAAAGGTTAGAGTCCTGCATTATATTTGAAGAAATTAAATAATGAAAATCTGCGTAAATGTATGTATATTTCTCACATTGTCATAAAATAAAGGTACATAGAGTCATCGAATTTTGAATAACGTAATCCTCCAACGAATATGAGCATGTGGAAGACCAAATTTGAAATTTGTTTTATGATCGATTTCCTATTTTTTAAAACTTTGACGAATTTTTGATTAACAAGCTCAAGGATTTCAAAGCGAGCAATGGCAACGTTGTGCAGAAAAAACATTTTTATCTCCAGCGCGTGAGTCTCTGTATCGGAAATTCTAAAGATATGCTCGTTTTAAAACTATTTTGCGATATTGCTGTTGCACTGGATCTTATGGTTTAAGTGCGAGGAACATGATATTTAATAAAGAAAGGTAACACACAAAATGTTAAAAAACGCCCCTTTAGACGTAATTTAAAATCTGAAACATTTCAGATTTTTTTTTTTTTTTTTAAAGACCAGAACGGCTATTAATTTCGTTTTGGCATTTTGCGTTGAAAACTTCAAATGTCAGTTCACTTTTCAAACTGTTGCCACCGAATATTACAGCCCTGCGTTATATTTAAAGAAATTAAATAATGAAGAATTTACTTTAAATGTATGTATATTTCTCTCAGAGTGATAAAACAGCGGTACCTAGTGCCATCCAGTTTTGAATAATGTATATCTCCACACGAATATGGGCAGTTGGAAGCACAAATTTGGATTTTGGAATATTTTTTACTATCTATTTCATATTTTGTAAAACTTTTAACGAATTTTTAATTAGAAATCTCCACGATTTCAAAGCGAGCAATGGCAACACTGTACGAGAAAGAAATATTTTTATCTCCAGAATTAATTTTTATCTCCAGACTGACATTTGAAGTTTTCAACGCAAAATGCCAAAACGAAATTAATTCTAAAGATAGGCTCATTTTAAAATAATTTTGCGATATTGCTCTTGAACTGAATTTTATCGTTTAAGGGTGAAGAACATCATATTTAATAAATAAAGGTAACCCACCAAACATTAAAAAACGCCCCTTTGGGCGTAAGGAATAATTTGAAAGCTTTCATTTTTTTCCCATTCTTTTTTTTTTATTAATCCAAAGGGACAATTTGCCCAGAAGGACTATTAATTTCATTTTGGCATTTTGCGTCGTTCACGATAAGCGTTCTTTCACTTTTTAAATTGTTGTCACCAAATATTAGCGTCCTCTATTGTATTTAAAGAAATTAAATAATGAAGATTCTACATGAATGTACGTATGTTTCTCGCATTGTAATAAAGCAACAGTACCTAGAGCCCTCAAAATTTGAATAACGTAATCTTGCATAGAATATGGGCATCTGGAAGCCCTAATTTTAATTTGAAATTTGTTTTATTATCTATTTCATATTTTGTAACACTTCAGCGAATTTTTGATTAACAAACTCAACGATTTCAAAGCGAGCTATGGCAACACTGTACGGAAACAAGAAGGTTAGAATAGAAGGAGGGAGGGTTCGCAGTTTCCTCCACTATCGGGGAATGAAACTCCACCCAACAAGCGGCGTCCATGTTTGTACCTTCAAAACATTGCATTACGGCAGTGAAACGTACGTGTTTTTAAGCTGTTCCGTGCATGCATTTTCCAATAAAAATATGTAAAATTTATAATGAAATGCTTTGTATTGTTAGTTTTTTGTTTTAAAGTTATAAAGATGATATCCGTAATTTACTACGTACAGAAAATCATTAAGAAATAGTTCGACATCTAAATGCATGTGCCTTGAAGCCTTTAAAAATGATGTTTCTGCATATTTCAAGAATTTGTTTAGGTTTTATTGGGAACCTTCTCGGTGTTGTTGGTGTACTTTCCAATTTTTTCCTTTAAGAAGTGATATTTCTGATTTATTCACAATATTATAATTTATTAAGAATCATTTAAAATAATTTTAACCTGAAATTAATAGCAGAGAATTATCTAAAAAAATAGTCACAGGTTGCATTTTTTTTTTTAAATGAAAGTTTTAAATAGATTCTTTTCGCAACCAACAACTTTATAACAACAAGAAAATAAATATTAATAAAATAAAACAGATTTATGTGAATTTCAGTGATTTCAGTTTTATGCGCATTTCATATATTTATAAAACTCAAAGAAATTGCCTTGAATTAAGCTGAATTACAGAAATATACCTATATAAATTTTTGGATACATCTTTCCACATGTTCAGTTGTTGTGTAAATATTTTTATATTATATATTTTTTATATTTATATTTATTTTTATATTTATATACCAGCTATAAACAGAAACATTAAAATGTATTTAAGGTATTTTGATTATTATTAAGTACTTTTTTTCACATCTGGAAAGAAAACAACATGACATTGTGATATTTTTTAACATATTTATCAAATTACTTAGAAAATGAAAATCAATACTTACGAATGAAAAGTAATCTTAGGAATCTTTTTCGAAAATCTGTTTGTGCATCCATATGCAACACAAGCTGACATGCTTCAAAAAGAAAAGAAAAAAAAAAATATTGCAATTACAGACTTCTTGCACAAGTCACAGCGATAACAGAAACATGGCCGCGAAGCTTCACCGTTTGAGTTGAACCTTCCCTCCTTCTATTCTAACCTCCTTGTACGGAAAAGAGAAAAACATTTTTATCGCCACAGCGCGAGACTGTGTATTGGAAGTTCTGAAGATATGTTCATTTTAAAATTGTTTTGCGATTTGCCATTGAACTGAATTTTATGGTTTAAGCGCGAAGAACATGATATTTAATAAATAAATGTAACACGGAAAATGTTAGAGAAACGGCCCTTTGGATGTAATTTAAAATACCTTTTAGGTTGTTTTTATTTTTTATTTTTTATTTAAAGTGACCACCA